TCTGACGCTCTTTTTACCATAGGTAAGGGCCACACCAGCCAAAATTACAATAAACATGATAATCACTTAAGAATATTATAAATGGTTGAAATTCCTCAAGGAAAATTGAATTGGACTCAGAAAGTATAATTAGACCTGAGCATGGTGACACACAACTTTAATTCTAGCACTTGGGAGGCAGAAGTGGGTAGATTTCTGGGAGTTTGCAGATACCCTGGTCTATATAGCGAGTTCCAGGACAGCCAGGGCTGTGTAGAAAGACCTTGTCTCAAGAAACAAAACAAACAAACAAATCAAACAGAAAAGAAATAAAGGAAGGAATGAAAGAAGGAAGGGAGGAGGGAGGGAGGGAAGAAGGAAAGAAGAAAGGTTAGAGGAGAAAGATCTGTTTACATAAAGAGTTAATTAAATAAATGGCCTCAGGTCAGGGAGAGAAATCCTTAGCTGTTTGTTTAACAATTATCCCATCCCAAGCTGAAAAGCCCGACTTCCTAAACTGGAATATTAAACTCTCCAGACATAATACAAACTAGTCAAGAATTTGTATAATATGAAAATTAGCTGAGAAGTTTCAACATTAGCTAGGATTTAATTTTAGATTTGGAAGCCTTCTTAAAAAATCAAAAGAAGGGGTTGCATGAACAGGAGAAGAAAATATTTTCAGGTTCATGACAAAACTCCTTAATTAAGAAAAATAAAAGCCAAATCCCCTTTAAAATAAAGTAGTACATCAGGAGATCTAGGGGATTCTTGTTTGTATCCATGCCTTGGAACCCATCGTCCACCTTGGGACACCTGATTTGGAGCAGGGAGACTGTGGTAGTAGAATCCTGTCCTTTAGGGATGACATAACATTTCAAACCATGAAATTGTCAGATATATTTCCAAGAAATGTCTGTCTGATGACTCAGTTCAAGACTATTTCTAGATGTTCATATGTGAGTATCAAAAGTCAAGAAAATGTTCATAATCTAGATACCTGGAACAATCACTTCCCTGAAGGCCGGGCAGCCCTGACCTAGAGCTGTAAATTAAGGCAAGTCCTATCAGATAGGTTTGATTACCCTGAAGAGCCCAGAGCACTGAAAACTGTCCGTGGTACCCTTGGGCCCACACCATTGATCCATTTCCAGCCTTCAGTCAACATGTTTGTCCTTGTGGTTTGTGCAGACTACCCAGAGCTTTCAGGAAGTGTGCATGGTTGAGGTGACAAAGGCAAGGGGTGGCAAAGGGGGAGTGTGACATCAACTGCCGAAAAAGGGGGATGGGAAAGACATCAATGTATGAGCATGATCAGAACCAAGTAAGTAAAAGAACAAAGGACACAAGTGACAATTTATAAGGTGGGAAGTGGCGACAGAAATTTCCTCGGAAAAAAGTGCAATCAGGGACAAAACACAAAGGGAAACACAGGTGAACTTCTTGATATAGGAAGAACGCAACTCGATGGTGAGCTCTAAACCATCATCCCTTTAAGCAGATCTCAGAACGAAGTCTCTTTTGCTAATGCTCCAAGATAACCTCATTTCATAGGCTCCACTTTCTGGAGATGCTGAAGCTACTGTTATTACTATCACAAAATGCAAGAACACTTAAAGTATTTCAGTTTGGGGCTGGGCAGATGCCCAGCAGTTAAAAGCAACTACTGCTGTTCCAGAGGAGCTAAGTTCCCAGCACCCACATCAGGGGCTCACAAACACTGTAACGCTAGCTCCACAGGATCTGACACTGTCATCTGGCTTCTGCAAGGGCACCCACACATGGTGCATGCACATGCATACACATGTGTGCACGCTCTCATATCCCCTCTCCACATATGCACACATGAACAAATCATTTCAAATAAAGCTAATTTATGGACCCTTGTTTATTATTTAATTTAAATGTTTAATTATATATTTTAATTATATATCCAATGCTGGTCTTTATCAAACTTAGGGTTTCTTCAATGCTAGGCAAGCACTCTACCAACTAAGTACATCCTCAACCTCAAATTTTTGTGTTCTCCAGTCCCAAAAGTTAGCTTCTTAATAGGGTGTCTTCCCCCACCACCCTCTGCTTTGGTTTTATTCTATTTTTATTTTGCTATCTATCTATCTATCTATCTATCTATCTATCTATCTATTTTTGGTTTTTCAAGACAGAGTTTCTCTGTATTGTTTTGAAGGCTGTCCTGGAACTCGCTCTGTAGATCAGGCTGGTCTCGAACTCACAGAGATCCCTTGCCTCTGCCTCCCTGAGTGCTGGGATTAAAATATATGCCACCAACGCCTAGCTATTTTTTTTCAAGACAGGGTTTCTCTGTGTAACAGCCCTCGCTGTCCCAGAACTCACTTTGTAGCTGCCTTTGCTTCCCAGGTGCTGGGATTAAATGTGTGCACTGCCCCACCCCTTCTGCTTTGAAGTCAGTATCAGTCAGCCCAACAGGAAAAAAAAATTCTTCTAGTGTGGAGGAAAGCAATCCACCCAGTCTTATAAGCTAATAGATACATGCAACATCTTTTGTTCAAGTCCTGAACTAGCCAAAAAAACCCTTGAGAGTGTACTGAGGAGCACTGGGTTGATCTATGTCAGCAAGAGGAAATGAACACACACTGTAAATAACCTGTTGCTATTTACCCTGCACACTTTTGTTGTGAACTAATGGACAGTTGTTTGATCTAAAAAGCAGCAGCAACCAAGTTATTATGAGTCAGTTCTCTATACAATGCCACCCAAAGGACGTTCTGGGACAATGCCTTGTTCAGTGTAGCTAGGAAAACTGGAGGTGTGGTTTCTAAGGCTATTTATTTGTAATTAATTCAACTAGCTACCTGTGCTGACTCATAGCTACCTACTTGAATGGCAGACTTCTAGCCCCTTTCGACTCAACCCACAGTCTGTGGATCTGCAGCATTCATACCACCATGTTAGAAACACAGACTGCTGGGCCCTCTCTGGACTAGCGACTCAGACTCTCACTGCTGACAAGACTCCTCACTGGTTAGTATGCATATTAAAAAAACTCAAGTACAGTCAAGATCAAAAGGGAAAGAGGATATCTATCCAGATTATAGATACATAGGTTGCCCCTATCTTAAAGCTGGCGTCCAGCACTGCGGGCCTTTTTCTTTCTTGCCAGCCGCGTATTCTCCACTTTCAGTGACAGTAGAAAGAAGAGAGGGTTAGGAGGAGAGAGCCTGGAAGGGTGGAGTCTAAAGGGAGAATAGGGAGATCAGAGTTAGGTAGGAGGATGCGGGGTTTTTTTTCCAGGGATATTTGCAAAAAATACAATGACAGTATTTCCTTGTTAAAAGAACAGTCATGATTCCAGAGACCATGTGTGAGATAACAGCTTCAAGATGGTCCCCAACAATCCTCTTCTACTGGGATTCATGACCTTATGGGGGTCTCTTTCCACCAGGGTCTATGTGGCCAAAGTGGAGATGACAGCAACCCTTTAAAGACCAGAGTCACTGTGACTTCTGCCTGCATGGTTTCGGACCTCTTGCCCTAAGGGAAGCTGTCCTGTCCTGGCACTTAAGCAGTCTTCAGACCTCACCTTCCTGGAGAGTCACTGAATTCTTGCCAACAGCCAACCATCTGAGGGATTCATGTGACTCTCTGAAAGTTGACTTTTTCTCCCAGTCAACTTTTCCGATGACCAGCTTGCTTGTGACACGTACCTGCAATGGAGAAATCTGCTGGCCAGGACTGACTATAGCATGCTTCTCAGGACTCTCTGGCTAACAGAAACTGTTCCACAGCAATTAGTCTCGTGATTAATCCTTCCCTCTCCTCCAAAAAGGACCACCCACCCTCCCTGACTTTTTGCCCATGCTTGGATTAAAGAGGGAAGGGGGAAAAAAGATCTTTTCAAATCGTGCATAAGGTTAGCATGCTAATATCCCTAGAAGAGATGATACAGTCACTTAAATTCACAGCAAAACATATGGGACAGATATATGTTCTTTCTTTCTAAAACTCTTAGCAAGATAATCTGTTGGGACATTAATGCCAGGCGTGGTCTTGCTGCTGTAAGAGACTAGAAAGAAAAAACTTGGTAATTTCTCCCTCAGTGTCCACTATCTCAAGAATGGTCTTAGTTCGTCCTACACCCCGCCCCCAATCATCAATATCATACATTGATTAACAGCTTTTTTGTGTATGGGGAGTTACCCTACAGAAAACACCTCAAACGCCCCACCATTGGCCTTCACTTTTGAGGATTAGGTTAATAGAGAAACTTCAGGATTCATGGCCGCAATCAGAAAGCGTGAGTACTTCTTCGGGAAGAAGACAAGTGAGAGAGCTGCATAGGACGGAAGTCGGGCGAGCGCATCTCCCAACCACACTTTGTGTCCAGCAGGTTTGCAGGCTATGGAGCTGTGCTCTTCAGTGGTACTCCACGGTGTAAGGACTAGTGGCGTCCAGAATGGAGGAAAACAAAATAAAGCTCTTCCCCCAAATTTTTGGGACTTCACAGCTCCATCGAGAAAACAGGACGAACATCGAAAACGTGACTAATGAATTTCCCGCCAACACTGAAGGGCGGCAGTAGAGCCAGATGTCTTTAAATTTGGAAAATTAACAGATGATGCTTCTTGCCCCGGAGTCAATCCTCTGGCTCCGGCGAACTCACTCCTGTTAGACTTACTTTTCCTGCCAGTGGGTTTGAGCAGGAAGAGGTAGGTGCTGCGGCATGAGGAGGATGGAGAAAGGGATGCAAGGGAGAAGAGGCGCTTAAGGAGCGTCAGTCGCCAGCTTTAGGCCAGGCACAGGTTCGCAGAGGAAGTGATCCCTGACTCGAGCCAGCCACCCGCGTGTCCGCCGGGAGCCGGAGACAAACACACGCACGTGCGCCCCGCCCCCGCCGCGCGCACGCGCCCCAAGGCTCTGGCGGCGGCGACGGGCGCGCGCGCGGTGCTCGCTGCCCCCACGCTGCTCCCTCGGCTGGGATCGCGGCGTCTCCCGCTCGCCGCACTGCTCCACGCCTGGCCCGTGGGTCCGGAGGCGGCAGTCGTGCGTGGGCTCCGGCGGACGGGCGCGGCGGTCGAGGCGAGGCGGCGGCGCGGGTGGACAGCGCGGAACCCAGCAAGTTCCTCGCAGGCGATGTCGCCGGGCGCGGGCCCCTGCGTACGCCGGGCGCCGTGACAGGCCGGCCGAGGAGGCGCGGACGGGGGAGGCCGCGACGGAGCTCCCGGACTGGCCATGGGCTGAGACGCATCCTCGCAGAGCAGGTGCAGTGACCGGAGGTTCTGGGGAGGGAGCCCGCGTCACAGGCCCCGGAAACCTTCGGCCCTTCCTAGCCTGATACCCTGTTGACCTTCCCTGGGCTTCTCGGGAAAGGCCCTGATGACCCCGCCTCCAGACCTCGAGTGTGCAATCCCTGTGACACCCCACCACTACCGCCGCAGGTGACACGCTGTGCATACCCTGACTGTATACCCGGAGACCCCAGCCCACGGGGCCTTTGCGCCAATGCCTCTAATGCCCTAGTATTTTGAGCCCACAGTCTGCCTGCACTGTGCCTGGAAACTACCCGGGATAGCTTCCTCTTTCTACTCGACCAAGGGGTTTGGGGCAGGGGTGGGAGGGGAAAGTGGGAGTGGTGGTCCTTGGTGACTACAAACCCATCCTCTTTCTCTCAAGCCTGTAGTGAAAGTGACCCTTCCATACTCCACCAGAACATGCCGGGGTGACTCCGTCCCAGATCGTCCAGTGGCCTTCCTCACCCTCCCCAGTGACACTATGCAACCCCAGCGTGACCTGCGAGGCCTCTGGCTCCTGCTGCTCTCCTTGTTCCTGCTCCTCTTTGAGGTGGCCAGGGCTGGCCGATCCGTGGTTAGCTGTCCCGCCAACTGCCTGTGTGCCAGCAACATCCTCAGCTGCTCCAAGCAGCAGCTGCCCAGTGTGCCCCAATCTTTGCCCAGCTACACAGCACTTCTGGACCTCAGCCATAACAACTTGAGCCGGCTACGGGCCGAGTGGACCCCCACCCGTCTGGTCAACCTCCACTCCCTGCTGCTGAGCCACAACCACCTGAACTTCATCTCCTCCGAGGCCTTCGTCCCAGTACCCAACCTGCGGTACCTGGACCTCTCCTCCAACCATCTTCACACACTGGATGAGTTCCTGTTCAGCGATCTTCGCGCCCTGGAAGTGCTGTTGCTCTACAATAACCGCATTGTGGTGGTGGACCGGTATGCCTTCGAGGACATGGCCCAGCTGCAGAAACTCTACTTGAGCCAGAATCAGATCTCTCGCTTCCCCCTGGAACTGATCAAGGATGGAAACAAATTACCCAAACTAATGCTCTTGGATCTGTCTTCCAACAAGCTGAAGAAGTTGCCGCTCACTGACCTACAGAAATTGCCGGCGTGGGTCAAGAATGGGCTGTACCTGCACAACAACCCGCTGGAATGTGACTGCAAGCTCTACCAGCTCTTTTCACACTGGCAGTACCGGCAGCTGAGTTCCGTGATGGACTTCCAAGAGGATCTGTACTGCATGCATTCCAAGAAGCTGCACAATGTCTTCAACCTGGATTTCTTCAATTGCAGCGAGTACAAGGAAAGTGCCTGGGAGGCTCACCTGGGGGATACCTTGACCATCACATGTGATACCAAACAGCAAGGGATGACCAAAGTGTGGCTGACACCAAGCAACGAACAGGTGCTAAACCAGGGGGCCAATGGCACAGTGACTGTGTCTGAGGATGGCAGCCTTCGTTTTGAAAAGGTGCAGGTTGAGGATGGGGGTGTGTACACCTGCTATGCCATGGGGGAGACTTTCAATGAGACGCTGTCTGTGGAGTTGAAAGTGTACAACTTCACCTTGCACGGACACCATGACACCCTCAACACAGCCTATACCACCCTGGTGGGCTGTATCCTCAGCGTGGTTCTGGTCCTCATATACTTGTACCTCACCCCTTGTCGCTGTTGGTGCCGGGGTGTGGAGAAGCCTTCCAGCCATCAAGGGGATAGCCTGAGTTCTTCTATGCTCAGTACCACACCCAACCACGATCCTATGGCTGGTGGGGACAAAGATGATGGTTTTGACCGGCGGGTGGCCTTCCTGGAACCTGCTGGACCCGGGCAGGGTCAAAATGGCAAACTCAAACCAGGCAACACTCTGCCGGTGCCCGAGGCAACAGGCAAGGGTCAACGGAGGATGTCAGATCCTGAGTCGGTCAGCTCGGTCTTCTCTGATACGCCCATTGTGGTGTGAGCAGGATAGGTTGGTGGGGAGGTTCTGCCCCAGGAGAGGTAGTGTACCCCTGAGGGATAGGAGGGGATGGAGGAGAGGGCTGGCTGCCCAAGGGAGCGGGTTCTTCCTGACCACCATGGGCACAAGAGCAGGCACGACCCCAGTGACAGTGCGGATGCTGCAAGTTTCACATGCGGATATATTAATCCTCAGGCAGACACCACACCCCTACCCAAAGCCTTGGCTATTCTCAGGGTGGTAGAGGAGGAGGGATGTGTCTGGGTTGGATGGGAATGAGGAAAGGGGTGAGGGGAAGAACAGATTCCCAAAACTTTTTTGAGGTCATCCCTAGCTCCTTAAGAGAAAACCATTTGAAAAACAAATTTTTTCTGTCTCTGCCCACCCACACCTGTGAAGTTGTGTGTGCTGGGGGAGCCTCCACAGGAGCCATGCTGGGACACTGCAGTATCTTCTCTGGTCAGGAAGTCCCATCCAGAGCTAGGGGATTGGAAACCTTTGGAAAATGAGTCAGGGAAAGATGGAGGCCTGGATCTATAGCGCTGCCTAAAGCTACTGTGAGACTTCTCCCCCGGAGTCCGGAGTAGGTGGATTTTTGCAGGAGTCTGGCTTCTTGCCTGTTAGTTATGGCAGCGATATAGGATGTGGTGTCTGTGCCTTGTCCTGGGGCAAGTAGCACAGCTACAGAATGAATTAAGAGGTCTCTGTCTTAGCGTAAAATTTGTAGATAGGATGTAAATTCCAGGTAGGCTAATTCCCTGGCTGGGGGAAAGCTTTGATTAGTTTTTGACTCCCAGTGTATGTCTGTGGGGGATGCTAAAGGCGGAGCGTTATGGATGACTGCCACCAATGTGGTACAAGGGCCACTCTCCCTGAAAGCATGAGGAAAACCAGCCTCTTTGATGTAGCAGCCAGCCAGACCTACCTGATTTTCTGTGTGTGCCCTCTCTTCAGTAAGCCTTCTAATCCACTCAGGTGGGCTTCTGAGCCTGCCATATTATGCTGCTCTGCAAAGGGAGGAGTCCAGTAAAGTCCAGGCCTGCTCAGCTAGACTAGGTCTGGAGATAGACAGGACCCAACATTTATCTTCTCTCTGCTGACAAGCCTGCCTCACTCTTGCTGCACAGCCTAAGTGTGGGATTTTGTTATCCGAAGGGTTGGAACCTAGTGGTCTCTATCCTAGAGTAGTGCTACACAGTGTGACTTAGGGTTCTGTCCTCCCCACCAGGCTCTAAAGCAGTCTTGCAACAGAGGTATAAGGGGCAGTACACTTTGAAAAGGAAGTTCCTCTCAGTTGGAGGTCAGTGCAGTTGTAGCTGTCAGAGCAGAGAGACTTAAAAACAAAGCCAGCCTTAGCTTCCATCCAGGTTTGCAAAATGCATTGGGTACAGAGATGACTGCGCCCAGCGCCCTTTGACCATATTGCAGGTTCGGGGGCTTTGGAAGGGGGTGAGCAGGGCAATGGTGAAAGTGTTCCCCAGCGTTGGTCTTTTTCAGTGTCTTTTCTTTCCCTTGTTTTCTGTAGTTGGAAGTTGTCCAGGTCCTCCAGTTTCCTGACCTGCTTTTTAAGTTCTAAGAGGTGTTGTTTACCTTTGGTGAGGGCTGCTTAGTACTAGGAGGGCCTGTCAGGCTGCCTTTAAGGACTGGGGAAGAGAAACTGAAGTAAACATTGTCCTCTCTCTGTTCCTGGGATCTCAAGGCTGCTGTCCATCCTTTATTAGTAACCTAGTTCTGTCAAGAGAGAGGTGCAGCGATTCCCCTTATGTAGTTGCATGCTCGTAGGAATGCATGCTTGTAGGTATGCATGCACAGCACACCAGCACCTTGACCTCCACCAGGACAGTGAATCTGTGGCCCCCTCTAGAATGGCCTCCACCCACGTGCACAACTTCTCACAATCTTCTCGCACTGTAGGAGAGACAGTGACCATGCCAGGCTCCTCAAATGCACAATCTCTTGTACTTTAATTTCTGAACACCCCAAACTTTACCCATATCTTCATGGTTCTGAATAACTTCTCTGTAGAGGCCAGAGTTAGGGGGAGCACATGTTGAAGCCTTTGGGAGAAGGGGTGGTGAGGCACTAGTGGGCTCATAAGACTCCTCGGAAACCCTACACGTGTATAAGATAGGAAGCTAGAGCAGTGAAGGGCCCCAAAGGATGCTGGTCATGGCTAAGCAGCTGTTATTCTTCCTGTGTTACTTGATAGACGGGGCTTGGAGAGGAACGCTGTCTGGTTGTATTCCAAAGACTTCTGGGGACTTTGTCACCAGAGGTTTGAGAGCCAGACCTCTGTCCTCAGACTCATCAGGAAATGGAAAAATCTCTTCTGTGGAAGATTCCTCTCTTGACACCATCTAGGGCTGTGAAACTCTTTAAAATGGAGGCTGGATGAAGTTTGCCTTTGGGGGCATTCTAGCTGAGCTCCTGGGGACCAGGAGGGTCATTTTCTTTGTAAGTCCTACCCTGTAGCCCCAACTCACCCCACTACATCCACTAACTTGGGCCCAAGTTTGAGACACTTGGAGGATATGTCTGGACACCACTAGGACATTTAACTGACTGGTCTCTTGTGGTTTCAGTTCTTGTAACCCAATGGTATTTCCCTGCTTGTATGTGGAAGGGCGTATGTGTATTTGTATCCCACATGTATGACCCATTAGACCTTGGAAAGAAAGCTGCCAGGTGTCGGTATAAGAAAGGTTGACCTTCACCCCACCTGCACCCATAAACTGTGTCTCCAAGGAAGGAGAAGCAGGTGTCTCTGGAGGCAGGATGTGACAGGACTCTACAGTCTGTGTAATTATCTGTGATCCTTTTCTTTGCTGTACCCATGAGGCCCCTGAAAGAGGCCAGGAAAGGGTAGACCCGTCTGGGGAGAAGAAAGCCAGCTTTCTGGTTGTGTGTGTGTTCTTGCCTCTGTAATTCCCTTTTCCTGTGTCTAGGACTCTTCCTCCCACTATGTGTACCAGGCTGGTGACCCTCAGAGCCAATGGGCTCTATCACTAGACAATGACCATTAAACCTGGCTTGAGTCTCTGCTCTGGCACAGTTTGTGATGGTTTATTTATCTTAGCCTGTGGGTGGGTTCAGCATACTTCAAAAGGGCGTGACATATCTAAAGAGAGAATCTCTTTTTAAGTGTTGTCTGTATCGTCTAGGAATTAAGTATGAAATATGTATCACCCAGGCATTGAGATTAGACAAGAGAATGGCAAACTTTTTCTCATCAGTCAGACAGTAAGTATTTTAGGCTTTATGGGCCTCACCATTTATTAAACCTCAACTGCTTTGCTATAGCAGACAAATGTCCACAGACATATATATATATAGATGAATGACTGTGGTTCTGTCTCATTGTAGTACTCTGATACAGAAAAATGCCTACAACAGAGTATTTTATGAGGAAAAAAGGTTTACTTTGCTTACAGTTTTGAGGCTGAAAGTCCAAGATCTGGTGGTTGTGTTTGTGGTGCGTGTCATGAAGGCCTCATGGTATATGCCGTCACAGTAATGGGAGGGCATGCAGAAGGATCACGTGGTGAGACAGGAGGTGAGGGAGATCCAGGGATGGGTCTGGTTTGCTCTTTTTATGACAATGTACTCTTGTAAGAACTAACCAGGGTCCCATGAAAACATCCTAAGGATGGTACCCTCAGTGACCTATCATCTCTCACCAGACCCTGTCTCAAAGGCTTCACCTTTCAGCTAGGGTCCAAGTGTCTAGGACATGAATCCTTTAGGTACTTATTCAAATCTCTGCCAAGACATAGCATCCAATGAAATTTTATTTATGGGCATTAAAATGTTAATGTCTTTTGAATTTGTTTCAACCAGTTAAAATTGTAAAAGTTACCAGTCTTACAGACCGAACAGGCCACAGTTTTCCAATCCCAGAGACAGAGACTCAAAAGCAGCATCACAGTGCCTGAGCAAGCAAGAGTCTAGATACCCAGGGCTGAAACTTGTATATAATGATGGTTTTCTAGGTCCCTCAGGTGGAGGTTGCCTCCCTACAGGCTTCTCTTAAAAGCTAGATCAAGCTTTCTAATTGGAACAATGGGAAAATGCTCGGGTTGGGTGGTTGCTTTCATAAAATTTTGATTATTACCAGGATATTTTCATCTTGGGCTAAAAGCATATTCATCTAATGGGTATGTTAATACTCAGTGACTGTTTCATGTGCAATCCGTATTCTTCAGAATAGAAAAAAAATGGAATTTTTACTTTTTCTTATAGAGATATCCTACCAGAAACCGGACTGAACTATACTCTGAGAAGGCTCCTGGGGTTTCTGGAAGGGACTGTTGTGGTAGATCCAAAGAGGATGAGGTCTAGGCCCTTACCACCCTACATGTGCCAAGTCTCAGCTGATCTTAGAAGCTAAGTAGGGTCAGTCCTGGTTTGTACTTGGATGGGAGACCAAAGAAGGAGAACATACATAATTACCCTAACTTCTGTGTATGAAATGAGCCACTGCAGCCCTCTTCTGTCTGGGAAGTTGTCTTTCTCACTCTGGGAGGAACAGTGGAGGCACTCCAGGCTCATTGTCAGTAAGTGACATACAGATGTCGAGGTCAGAGCTCTCCTGTCATCGTCCACATCTGTGTATGTTCTCATCTTTACAGAACTGCTTTTGCTAGGGCTAACCCCCTGGCTCAGAGGACAGTGCTGGAGGAGAACAGGCTGGGAAGACTGCTTGGAGTTCCCCCTTTTATGTTTTCGAGCTCTCTCATCTTCCAGCTCGTCTTCTAGACCTATGTCTCTTCTGCTTTTTCTGCTCTCTCCACGCCTAAGCCACAAGCTCCCTGGGTCGTGGTCAGGACATGCAGTTAGTCTGTCAGGCCCTGCAGGGCTTTCCCTCGCTCCTCAGGCAGCACTTCAGGGGGAACAGAGAAGGCTGATGTGACAGAATGAGAGTCCACTGCATGGGCTAACCTAGTCTGTCTTCCACCTGGTCTCTCAACTCCCCCCCTTTCTGTATTTGTACCACTTATCTCGTCTCCTAGGCAACCAATGGTGATGCTGGTGATGCTGTACTTTCCCCACCTACATGGCAAAAAAAGCTCAGGCCCTGCAGTAAGGACAGTTGGCTTTTTTGGTCAGGCCACAGGGAGTGTGCTGGCTGCTTCCTCTCCCAGGGCTTTGAAAGAGAAGGCTAAAGCTGCTAGTCAAGCACTTTCACCGGCCGTATCAAATGGCCAAGATCCTTAGAACTGCCCCGAGGCCTTCCCTTCCGGTGTGTACCAGTCTGATTCCTGTCCCTGGAGCACAGAGGGCATAGAATTACGGTCCGAGAGGCATCCTGCAGTGAACCAGAACATGCAGTCCTACTAGGTGACTTCCGCACTGGCACAGATAAGAAGATGTGCACACAGGTTGGAGAGGGCTGGATCAAGGTAGAGCTTTGCGCTTCTTTTCCTCCCTTCCAGTGCTCCCTCACGTGCTTTGGTTTACTTTAGGTGTGGGTCTAAGTATCACTGCTAGGACACATTGGGAGGTAACTGGAACCTATTTCAAAGATAGGGTGCTGGGAGCCACTCATGTCACCAGAGACACAAAATCCACCAGATACCAGACTAGCCTGGAATGGTTCCTTCATTGGCAGGTTAAAATCCCCTTTGGGAAATTCTGACAATGGCTGGCTGATTAATAATGGACTGCTGTTCTCTGACCACATCTGTGACTAGCCAAGCTTTCTGGGATAAGGTAGTCCCACCAGAGGTGATTTGTTTGCGCTAAGCCCAGCCCAGTGCTGCCTGTCCACTCCCAACCCCCACTCCAGGGCAGTCCTGGGGCACTGCCCTCCTTCCTTCGGCTTCTGTCTTCTTTGGGCCATTCTGGTAAGAAAGACTGAGGCTAAATTAGTGTTTCATTCCCGGACCCCAGGACAGAAAAAGCAATTACGATAAAAAGACAAATGTTCAAGCCTGCCTGCTACTGTTGGTTCTGCTTGCCTTCATCTACTCTGGACCAAACGCTGCCTGTCCTCAGACAAAAGGAATGGAAAGTATCCCTCCTCTTAACTGAACGTTTACATAGAACTGCTTTCGTGTGTGTGTGTGTGTGTGTGTGTGTGTGTGTGTGTATGAGTGCTTGTATGGTAATTCCAGTGTGTGTGTGTGTGTGTGTGTGTACATGAGTGCTTGTATGGAAATTCCAGTGTGTGTGTGTGTGTGTGTGTGTGTGTGTGTGTACACAAGTGCTTGTGTGGTAATTCCAGCTGTGTGTGTGTGTGTGTGTACACAAGTGCTTGTGTGGTAATTCCTGTGTGTGTGTGTATGTGTGTGTGTACACGAGTCCAGCAAAGCATTTTCAGGAGTTGAGGAGACTATGGTTTTACTCTAAGAGCCTATAACAGAAAAGGAAACCTGGAGTTGTGGATCCCTGGAAGCCAAAAGACATGTGCCACACAGTGTCACATCCCTAGTACTTAGAGTACAGGCCTGAGGCTGCAGAGGGGAGGCAGGGTCAGGGTGGTGGTGCAGTGATCAGTACTGTTTTGTTTCTTTTTTGAGACAGGGTTTCTCTGTGTAGCCCTGGCTGTCCTGGAAGTCTCTTTGTGGACCAGGGTAGCCTTGAACTCACCGAGATCCACCTGCTTCTGCCTCCTGAGTGCTGGAATTAAAGGCATTTACCACCATGTTTGACTGCAGTGATCACTACTTTTGACTGTCCCTTCCTCGTATCCCACTCTTACTTTAGAAGGGCAGAGTTAGGAAGGAAAGATAAGTTATGACCAGAGCTCCAGACTGAGACTTTACCCTTCTGGTTAGACCTGTACTGACAAGGAAGCCGTACTGACACAGATCTGTGATCAGCTCTGTGGCTTGACCACACTGGGTAAGCAATATGCAAGACAAACCTCAGTAACCATGATCTTGATGGCCAGGAGATGACCAAGCACCCAAAGTAAGAAATGTGACTGTTATACACCCCCCAAAGCCCTCCTAAGACTTGGGTCCCCCTGAGCATCACCTCCCACAGTTTATCGTCTCTTCAGGAAACATAAAGCCCAGAGCCAAGCTCAGGGAGAGAAAAGGACAGAACATCCCATCTGCTTCGCATTTGTTTAATGCTTTTAACCTTGCTCTCTTGTCTGACCCTCACAACACCCCTGTGAGGTAGGATGAGAAGCAAACAGTTTGCTTATACCACCCAGTGTTAGGAGCTGAGACACCAATACAGCAGCTTTTCCAGTGTTCAGGCTGGAGAACCTTTCAGTTCATGACCGTTTTCTGTATGTGTGTGCCAGTCGCAGACAAGGGTATTGGGGTTACTAGCCCGGAAAGTTTCTCGCTCTCTAAGCCTGCCTAAGGGCGTTCAGGTGGAGTGCCTTGCAGAGGCCAAGGCAAGTACAGAGGAGTTCTAAAGGTCTGGGCTTATCAGCTGCCACAGCCGTGGTGGTCTCTGCTGAGCATACTATATTCTCTGTGTACCTTGGCCTCACTGCTTACCCTCAGAGAAAATCTTCGGGCATGGTCAGGCAGCAAGAATCCTGATTCCCTCTCCCACAGTGCCTTCCCATGCTGTTACACTCCAAAGCCCAGGAAGAGGGGGAAGGTGAAGGCTGGCTGAGTCAGCCTGCAAATGCTTAGAGATCTGGAGCTGAAAGGCCCCGGCGCCATTCAACTAATGATTATTATTAACTCTGAACAGGCCTTGGCACAGCAGCCAGCTGGCTCAGGGGGGATGCCTGGATCTCCCACAGTGAGGTTTGAAAAACAAGACCCACAACAGCCATGCATGGGGGTGGAAAGGTGGGGACAATGAGAGACAGGGTAGGCCAGTGTCATGGAGGAAGGGTGGCCTGCCTCGGGAGGGGGAGAGCAAGCCCCGCCCGGCAAGTGAGAGCAGCCTATGTTGGATGGGAATGACAGCCAGAGAAGGAAGCAAGAGTTCTCTGGATGCCGAGCTCCTGTCATTCATTCACCGCCACCCCCAACCCCAATGGGACTCACAGAAAAGGGAGGATACAGGAACAAAGGGGCTCCTGAGAGGACTCCAGTATGCCCATTACCATTTGGATTTGATACAAAACTCTTTCTAATGCCCTTAAGGTTGAGTCTGAGTATAATGAAGCTTGGAACACAATCAGATATGGAATCAGGACTTAGCACGATATGGAAATTTGTGCAAATGATGGGTGACTTTTAAATCTTGAGCATCCTGAGTGTCATCCCCCGCCCCACTTTAAAAAGCAAAACAGGCTGACTGCCAGCAGCTTCCCCTAGTCAAGGAACACCAGCAGAGGATAGCCATGTGCCCCCCACCTCCCACGGTCCCTGCCTAGCTGCTAGAAAGCCCAGGTAGCATCCAGACGCTGGAAGATACAAAGAGGAAGGGGCAGCCGGTGTGGGGAAGAGGAGTACACAGCCAGAGGCATATGCAGCCGGCAGCTACAGATCCCAGCTGGAGACGAAACCCTGGCACTGAGGGCTAATGGTTGTCCAGCTGCTGCCCCAGGATGTGAGGGCAGGTGGTGATGGAGAAGTGGAAAGGCGGGAGGGGAGGGAAGTCCCCCCCCCAAATCTGGCCTACCAACAAGAAAGGCTCATGCCGGTGCCCTGCTCCCTGTATTGCAGTCAGATCCCTGAGTAGGAAACCACCGCTACCTGTGCCCTCTTTGCTCTGCACGGATGCCCTCCAGGCCCACTGGTCAGAGGAAGCGACAGCTGGGTCCCTTCTTCCTGCAGAATATAAATGACTCCCCTTCCTCCCAGGGCTGGGAATAGACATCAGATGGCACAGCCTACGCAAACTGCCGGCTGTCAGCACGCCTGCCTGCCCGCCTACCAGCCCCCGCACCACCTGGGAGGAGGCAACACCTCAGCCAGGCTCAGGCTTTCCTGCATGCCTCTGTGCTCTGAGAACAAGCTGCTGACCCTTACCTGGCCCACTCTGGGGAGCCCCCAGCACTGGCCTTGATGAGGGAAGGAGACAGAGCCCAGCATCAAAGTGACCCTAGTGAGAATCTCTTTCATGTGGCCCAGTAACCATTCCTTCCAAGCTCACAGCACACTGGATAGCTTGACAGGGAGAGAGGGCATTGAAAAAAACAAGAATGGCTCCCCTCTGCACTGCAGGAGCTGCTGTTCAGTAAGCTGTATTTAGATAGCTGATGAGATGCTATCTCCCCAGGGAAAAGCATGGTGAGGTCCACTGAGAGGACACTTATGCCCTACAGTCCCCATTCCTGTACTATTGAATCCCACCCGCCTTGTTTCTGAGCCGCCTGGAGAAGCCTTAAATCTTCAGAGGATCCAAGACAAGCAACAAACACTTTTCCTTTGTTTCTGGATCTGGAGCTCTAGCCCCTGTAAGGCCTCCCAGAGTTTCTGATGGGCTCTGTCTCCCGGGTAGAAAGTCGCACGGGTACCTTTCCTGGACCTGCAGTCTCCAGTCCTTACTAGGATCTTGGACTGACCCACACCACAGCTAGCTAGTTTGACATCCAGCCCTCACCACCAATGACGTTCTGGGGAACTCAGTTGAACCAAGGAGGTGTCTTGGCAGGGAAGAGAGCCCAGTTGGTACCAAAATCATCCCACTCTTAAGCTGAGGGACTGGCAGGAGACAACTAAGGGAAACTTAAATGACAAGGAGAGAAGGGCAACCAGGGAGACACTGTGTTCCTTGGATCAAGAGGGTCCCACTGTCTGGTTTTTATTTTGATCTGAAAGCTTCAGAAGAGTTCCCTGGAGCAATGTACTAAGTAAATACTCTAAGCCTTAAGGGCAAAGTGTAAGATGCCCAGAACTACTCTACCCTGAGATTGGATGTCAGGAGCATACCCAGACCACAGTCTAGACCCAGAGGTAGCCTGAAGAAGTTCTTAGCTGAGCTAAGGAGTCCAAGATTCCAGGGCTTGGTTAAGGCCAATTTCCTCCTGTTCCTCTAAAGAAAGTGACTTTAGTGCCTTTACTATCTTATTGTACAGGGACCCTCACGCGGTCCCTTCTTTCCATGATTTGTGGCCCTTGTTCCTTGGTTCAGGAGTCAAGTCAGCACGGATTTCTGAAGGGTACAAGTATAGAGATGTCCTTACAAGGGAGTAAAGGAAGAATGGATGAAGGAATTACATCCTGAGCTGTCTGCATGGTCCAGAGCTAAGAGGGTATTCAGTGACATCAGTGCTAAAGGTAAGGGTCTTTCGGATGAAGAAACTGAGATCTTGAGATGGAACTTGTCTAAGGTTGATTGTACAACACAGCTTAAGAGACCACGGGCTCTCCACAGTACTGCTTTTTCAGAAGGGACCCCAATATCTGCGGTGGTCATTCATAACCAAGAAGAACTCAACTCTTCATCAGGCACATAAGCAAGTCATCACCACCATCACCATCACCACCACCACCTAATCCTTTATGAAGCCCATCAAGAGTGAGGCTTCAGTTTCTCCAGAACCTTCCACTTGCACCCAGTAGTACATTTCCCCATTGGAGCCCACCAGATCACCCCTCAGCGGTAGCAGCTAGGGTTTCAGCACCCTTTGGCTCAGTCATGAAGTGCAAAAGTTTGCTTCTGAAGTGGGTCCCGTGAGGATCAAGGAACTGCTGAAGTCCAAGGCAAGAATCCCAACTAGGTTCAGAGTTCGGAGGCATTCACATTTCTACTTTCTTCCTTGGCAAGTAGGAGCTGGAGATCTGGTGCATGATCACCAGGGCTGGGTACAGCGGTAATGCCAGGCACAGGTACCAGGCTGCACCTTTAATCTGGGCCTGGAACCACACTGAGTACATGCCCAAGAGCACCGTTACTGTGGCCATCAAGTAGACCACCAGGCCGCATGTCAGATGGTAGAGCTTGAGACGAGCCACCTTTGAGACCCGGGCTGCCCGCGGACAGAGGAGGCCCAGCCCACACAGTGCTTGTCCCCCAGTGGCCAACAGTGTCAGAGCTCCTATCCAGCTGTGCCAGGACACCAGATGGGACAGCTCACTGCGGATCTTGCTGGAGATGATGAAGCCCAAGCCCAAGAAAGCACAGAGGATGGCCATGGTCTGCCCTGCCCAGTGGAGTCGAATCCGGGTCTTTCGAGAGCAGAAGAAGAACAGGGAGTGCTCCGGTGAGAAGAGTAGGATAGCTTCAGCCATGCAGAGACAGAACTGTAAACACAGGAGAAGGTCAGTGAGCATCTAGTCTGCATGAAGCCTGAGGGAAAGGGGGTGTTCTCACACATCCAGAAAAACATGGAGAAGCTTAAAGAACTTCCAGCCTCCCACACACCCTTTCTGGATCATAGAACAGCAAACACTGGAGTCTCTCCTGAATTCCTTGCCCTCAGAATTCAGGAGAGAGGGCAAGGCCTTGATAACATCCCTCTCACATTTTCCTTTCAGGTCCAAGAGGAAAATACCCCCCTCCCCAACCTCAAGCCTCCAATAATTTACTCCATTTCCCCAATCCTATAGGTCTCAGGGAAAGATGAAGTCCTCTTTCCCACATCTCTCTGATCCTTATGCTGAAATGTTTCCCCAAGGATTAAGCTAAGTATATCCAAACTCACCGCCAAGGCCATGAACACAGGGTGCCAGGAGAAAAGACCTAAGTAAGAATCAAAGAGAACAGGCTGACGGCTGGGCATCAAAAACCTGGCCACAAAAAGGTCAGCATACTGTCTAAAGCCTAAACAAGAATCAGGAGCCCACTACAAAGGGGTGGCCGCCAAGGAGCCCTTACACCACCTTAACCTGAGTTCTGCATACGATGCCAGCCCAGTCCTAGACTAGATTTTAGACGGCTCCGACCCTCCTCATGCTTTTCCATGAGGGACCTCATTCTAAGGAAGTGTCAGTTTTGTCTTTTCAAGTCCCACCCTTCCAGGACTTCCGGGGACCCGCCCACTAGCCCTTTACAACCACTCCTGGACCCGCCCCTCTTCGACTAGGGGCTAGGTTTCTAGCGCGCCCAAAGCTGCCCCTCCAGCACCTAGGCTCCGCCCCCTTCTTGGCCCCGCCCCTCCTCGCACACTCACTGGTTCCTGGCCGGGACAGCACAGTCAGAAAGATGGTGAAGCCCAAAGCTGTCAGGTGCGCCAAGATCCCACTGCCTCTCCGCAGCCAGCGGGTCAGTCTCGGCTCCCTTGCTGGAGCGGGAACCAGACCTACCTCCTCGGGCTGCATGGCAATACCAAGCCGGCTGGTACAGTTCAGCAACCAGAGGCTTCTTCCGGGTTTGCGATCGCGGAGGCGGCGGCGGCGGCGGCCGCTACAGGAGAGGCTCCTCCCCGGGGAGGCTGCGGGGCCGTGTGGCGGAGGCGCCCACAGCGCCCTCTGCAGACTGGGGGGGAAGCGTCTCCGCCTCAAAGGGCGGCTCCCGGAAACCTCCATTGACTTAACCCGGCTCCCAACCCACCTTTATTTCTACCTTTGTATCTTCAAGGGTATGTCAAGCAGCCTGTGAAAATGACATCCGTAGCAGCTGATATCAGGGAAACCCCAAAGCACACACCTAGTTTTCTGACCCTAGAGCGTGACCCAGTATTTTGAGCAGTTTTCCATAAGTACTGGATTCCCCTGGCTGCTCGCTCTCCAGACATTTCTGGCTTGTTCAGAAGACAAGATTCCTCCCTGCCTAAACATAAACGAAAAGATAAAGCCAAAACATAGTGACCCAAACCTGATAAATTCAAGAATGAGAACCAAAAGATAATCTCATCCCTATTTATAGGAGTAGTTGTCCCTATAAAATACTCCAAAGATTTAGGGCACTTTCGGTCTTTGCAATCTCCACAGCCGCATAGCTCTGAGGAGCAAGATTATCCAGAGGAACCAGGGCTTCCCACAACTGCAAGTTCTGCAACACTATTACTTCCAAAAAGGTATGGACCAGCTTACCCCCATTATTCAGAGCAAACTCACAGAAAAGGTCAAAACAAGCTATCCAGGGGCCGGGGAGATGGCCCAGTGGTAATGAACTTGTACTCTTCCTGTACATGACCTGACTACCCACACTAGGGAAGTCACAACTTAATGTAACTAGCTCCAGGGGGGGATTTCAGGGCTCTGCAGGTATCACATGATCACATGCACATACCCACAAACAGACACATACACATATTTTAAAATGCAAAAAAAAAAAAAAGGCTGTCCATGACCTCCAGAGCAGTGATCCCCAAGCTCAACTTATACATGGTTGAGAAACTAAGGCTGCTTTCAGAAGTGGGAAGAGCATGAACAGCCCAAGAGACTGAGGAAATGATCTGTAGAGAAATGGAAGCCCAGAGTTGCTAGAAAAACAGAAAAGGGACGTAAGCTAACTCCCCCAGACCCTCAGAACAGAAACCCCAGGGTAGAGTCAAAGTGTGACTCTCCTCCCCCCCTTTCTCGTTTCCTTTCCCGGTGGAACCAGAGTTGTCTCTTAAGACTTGGGGTGCCTTGCTTATTCAGTCACATGCCTTATCATCCTGCCTGGAGGAAGATTCCCAGTGACACCAGCGCCTGTGCACCGTGTGTGAGTGTGTATTGCTTATCGTCTCAGCCTCTTGGGATGGGGCTGAGGAGAGTAAGGACACTCATTCGGCTACATCAATTTTCATCCTTTTCTGTGTTTCTGTTTTATATTTTCTTAGCAGCAACAGAACAGGGAGACAGTCTTGAGGTATTTTAAAGAGTTTTTTTTTTTCTTAAAAAAAATAATATAAAGTTATAAAAAGCGGCAGCAGCCTGGGGCCCGGATCTGGAAGGGAGGAGGTGCTGGCGGCTCCGTTGCAGTGGGCAGGCACTTTCTTGTTAATGGGCTTTTGACTGCAGGGAGACAAGAGGTAAGAGACAGGATCAGGGAAGGGGCCTACCTGTTATCCTTCTCAGTGAGCATCTGGGCTCACCCTTGAATTCCTTCAGCTGGCCTGGGAAATACAACTGAGCAAGGGGAAATGAATGCCAGCCGAACAGAGGCAGACTGGGTAGTGGAGCTGGAGAACACACACACACCTGCACACACAGGCAGGTCCCTCACATGCCATCATCAGATCTCCCTCTAGGTGCCAGGCCAGTGGGCATGCACCCAATCATGACTAAACCAGGAGACTATTACCCCGCCTCACCTCCCAGAAGTCCCTCCTTCCAGAGATCACAGGGACAGATCAAAGCAGGTACAACAGAAAAGGCAAATAAACCCAACTGCAAACTTTACTAGAACCCTGGAGAACCTGCTGTAATCTGAAATGACTCTGGGCCATAAGCTAAACGCTTGCTTTTTGAAGTCCTACAAGAACTAGAGCAGCCCACCCATCTACAAACTCAGCATGCTGGGACCCAAACTTCCTCTCCCTTAAGGAAAAGTAGCTCCATAGAGGGAGGGTCACAGTCGTTTAAAAAGAAGTGTCCTTAGATTAAAGCACAAGTAAAGGGAGGATGGGACAGCGTGTCCTAAGCCCAAAGGAGAAGGCTGGGCATAGGAAACGCCCCAGGCAAAAGCTGGGGTCACCCTGGAAAGAGCCAACAACCTCTCCCTAAAGTAGATGACCCAGGGGCTCTCTCAGTTTCCCCTCTATTCCCGTTTTTGAAGTCATCTCCCTAGCACCCTCTCCACGTCACGTACCTACTGTGCTCCCCCGCCTCAGCCCTCTGACCCCTGTCTGCTCATGTTTTTCAGGAAGCTGGGCTGGTACCTTCAGTGTAGAGCACTTCTCCTCAAAGGGCAGGGCTGGACCTGGCTTCTTGCGACGCACAGAGCAGGTGCCGTCAGGAGGGACACCAGCCTGACAGTGCTTGGCCTTGACTGGCCGGCAGTAAGTGGCCAGGTTTTTCCGCTTCTTGGCTACCTCCTCCTCGGAGAGGCAGTTGGTTGGCAGGACCTTAGCTGGGTGGCCAGCCGTTCCCCGGTTCTCTAGCTGAGAAGCCTTGACTGGTATGGGGGATGAATGAGGGGAACCCCGACAGTCCAGGGGACCTGCTCTTTTCACTCTTGGCCCCACTGTCCCATTAAGCCCCATGCTCGGGGTTGTCTTAGTCTTGGCTGAGAGACCCCGACAGCCAGAGGGTTTGCCTTTTCCAGCAGGCTCCAGGATGCAGGTCCGTTTGAAAGTGGTAGGGCCAGGGGATAACTTCCGCTTTCGAGAAGGGACCTCCATCTCCACCCCTTCCTTGCCTTTGGACGACTTGCTGGCCTTGGAAGGTGGCAGCTTGCTGAAGGATGGAGATGGAGTGTTGGCAGGCAGTGGTGAGGTAATAGCCTGGCTACCGCCCATGCACTCTGCCTGGCTGCAGGCAGCTGCTACGCTGGGGGAGCCTGCAGGGTAGCTAGGGACAAGGCTGTCCTTCATGGGGGGTATTGAGGCTGGGCAGGCAGGTCTTGGGGGTGGGCCTGGAAGTCGGGGGCAGCTGCCCATAGAGGATGGACTCAGGGGATCAGATAAGGAGGGACTGACAAGATGGGATGGAGGTTCAGCGGCTGGTGGGATCTTCCTGTAGCAAAGAGAGAGTTTCACTGTGATACTGAGCAAATTCCACGGCCTTGCTAATATACACCAGTCTCTGCACCTTCAGATGGCCAGCAAAGCCCCAAAGCTGCTGCCCCCTGCTGGGAAACACTGGAACTAAGAGTCGAGGAAGGCACACAAGAAGGAATGACTTATCAGTACAAGGCATGTAGACTAGCAAGTAGACCCATTAACAACCTAATTTTTGGTCTCTGTTTGGCCATTTCCACATCCCACATTTCTTAAAAGGTACTAGAAATGATGGGTAAGAGTCTAGATTAACCCCACCACCCATTCATGCCCTCCTCCATGCTACCAAATCTCACCCCATCATGCCACACCCAATTTGGGTTCTTAGCAATCAGCCAAAGCATGCCAGACTGGGGCTTCTGAAGCCCAAGTATACCAAAGCCCGAGAAAGGAGACTCTGAGTCCACGAAACTCACTTCCACATGTGTGAGCTGAGGTGCCGTTCCAGCATGGAGCTGAGTGCTGAGCAAAACCGGTCCAGCCGGCGGCTAAACACATAGCATCCCGGGCTTACCAGCCGGCTTCCGAATGTGCAAAACTGGAGGCAGAGGAAAGAACATGGTTGGTAGGGCCTGAGATACAGGAAGGCGTCTGCCTACGAGACTCAGCCACCAGCCATCCCGGCTCCCTGTCCTGTTCTTACCGCCTGTGGCCTAGGAGGCCGGGTTGTATAATGGCAGTCAGGGGGAAGGTGGAGGTCATCAGCTGTCCCCTCCTCCTCACTCTCCTCGCTGGAGGCCTGAGCCCCGCCCCGGGGCAGAGGGAAGGGGAATAGGCCCGGATCCCCATCACCACCACAGGGGCCATCATCATCCACCTCACTCTCAGAGGAGGCCTGGGGCCTGGAAGGGTCGAGGGATATGAAGATGACGTGAATGACGGAGGAGGGGGACACACCCTTCTGGGTACTCATACAATATAACTCACTCAGAGACAGAACCAAGGGCCACAGCTTCCAAGGGATTCTCTCTCCAGCCCCTTCCTAGGCCTTGTCTCTTGATGAAGAAAATCTGCTTCAGAATCCCTTCCTCAAGAAAATCTTCCCAGCTGAACTACACCCAGCACTGGTCAGCCTAGTCAACTCCCTCAGCCATGTTTTTCTTCGCCTGTCCGTGAGCTGAGCCTGTGTTTCATGTCTACCCCTCGTACTACAGGCAGAGGTGGAGAGTTCCCTCTGGTGAGGCAGCCTCTGCAGACAAGTGGGATGGTTACACAGTAGCGCTGTTTCACCCAGAACCCTGACCCATTCTGCTCCCCGATGACAAGTGCCGACCCATGGGAGTGGCGGAAAAAAGCTCATATTCCAGGTATTCCATCTGCACACCTCACAGAGGCTGCGGTACTGCAATGTGCTTGGACAGGAATAGGGCAGTCACCTGCCTCACACCGCTGGTAGGGTTCTAGTTATCTCCCCATGCGTAGAGGAAGTGAGCACATCTTCAGGGTATTCCCTGGGCCTGTCTCCAGGGCTCCCTGATACCTTAGGGGCTGAGCATCCCTAAGTTAGGTAGGGTGAAGATTCTATACATACCTGGGAAGTACACAGTATGGGTAAGCCTGCTTAGAACGAGCAGAGGTGTTGTTGGGGACAGCTGCTGCCGCCACACCCTGGATAGCAGAGGGAGGTTCCTGGATGGGGCGCTCAAGAGCTGGTTCTTTTCGTCCTGGGCTCTTCTCCTTGGGAGATTCTCCTTTGCGAGAGCTGGCTTTCAGTTCAGCCACTAGCACGTCAAAGTCCTTGGTCCTGCCTGGGACCTCCCTGCGTTGGTGCACTGAGTGGATCTAGAACACAGCAGCATAATCTGAGTAGGATAATCTGAGCAGGATTGAGGGTACTGATCTTCTCTGACCCAGAGAGAGAATGTGTGTGTTGTGAGTGAGGATGTTTGTATGTCCATTTTACTGTCATGGGGCCAAAACTCTCTGCTGGGTAAGGAGATCTGAAGGTACTCCTCTCTGCTGCTCCTACCTTGTGTCCACTATGGTAGTCTCTTTCCCTTTCCCTGGAGTGTGCCAAGCCCCATCCCTTGAACAGAGTTTCCCCCCCCCTGCCCTTTTTTTGTTTTTTTGAGACAGGGTTTCTCTGTATTGCTTTAGAGGTTGTCCTGGAACTTGCTCTGTAGACTGGGCTGGCCTCAAAACTCATAGAGATCCTCCTGCCTCTGCCTCCTGAGTGCTGGGGGCATGGGCCGCCAAAGCCCGGCCCTTCCTTTTTTTTTTTTGTTTTTTTTTTAAATAATTTATTTATTTTTATGTGCATTGGTGTTTTGCTTGCATGTATGTCTGTGCAAGGGTATCAGATCTTGGAGTTACAGATAGTTGTGAGCCGCCATGTGATTGCTGGAAATTGAACCCAGGTCCTCTAGAAGAGTAGTCAGTATACTCTTAACTACTAAGTCATCTCTCCAGCCCCTTAAACTGAGTTTCTAATAACTTCTGAATTCTCCTTTCCAAAGTTCCATGTCTATGCTGACCCCCCACCCCATCATCACGCAAGAGGGATGGGGTTACCTTGCAGGTCAACAGGCGTGTACAGATCTTCTTGGTCTCTGGATTTATGACCCCACACTGCCTGTTAAGGTCAAACTCTTTACCTGTGGGGAAAGAGTTCCAATGAATCTCACGCCCATTTTTTTTTCCTGCCAAAGGTCTAAGAAACAGTAGGATTAAGGCAGAAGAACCTCATCTTCAGGTCTTGCTACCTGCTGGGCATAAACTACCCCAGCCCCATCCCTGGCCCAGGCACTGTTGGAAGACTAGAAGCCCAAAGCAGGGCAGCCCGTACCAAGAAGCAAAAGCAGCCACAGGCATCTGAGATGCCAGGAAAACCAACTGTGGAATGAGGAAGGAGATAATGGTCAGTAGCCCAAGGTGAGGATGAGTGACTTTGCTGGCTTGGGCACAAGGGCTCTCAGACTGGCTCAGAGACCTGGACCAGCAAAGCTTCCTGGGAACAAGTGGACGGGCGGTAATGGGACCTCTGTACCCTGTAAGCTGTAATGGCCAGACCACTC